CCTGCTTCTAACCAAATGTCTTTTTTTGGTTAGAAGTTACTAGAAGGAGCATTTATTATATGTGACAAAGCAGAGGTCTGTCAAACAGCACATCAGAGACTGCACTATCAGAGGGACCGTGGGCGAGGAGGTGCAGGAGACGGCTGCTGAGGATAAGAAGGGAGATCCTTCCGGTTGCTGATAGCGCTGGTGCCAACAGCAGCACCAAACACAGACAGACTGGAGGTCAAACTGCCTCTTTATCTCTTCGTCTTTAAGTCAGGCTTTGTCCTCCCCTCTTGCTCCAATTTTCTCTGTCATGCTGCTTTCTAGGCAGTTGTTTTGCACTTTCTTTTTTGCTTAATTCCTTTTCTGTCTCAATAGAAAGACAACAGTAACTTAAATATCAGCTTTGAAAGGTGAAATTTGTGAAAATGTTGCATCAGAGCCAGAAAGCATGGAACCATCCAGCTCTGCATCAAAATCTTGCCTTGTTAGACCTCTTTGAACCATTTAAGTTGTCTTTAAATGCCTCAGCCAACCTGAGAATTGCTGCAGACACGTCTGTCCCTTGATAACCACAGAGTACCGGTGTACCTATCTACTTTCTGCAGGGTGATCAAGCGGGTCACGAAGTTAAAATCACCTTTCATTAATCAGCTTTCTCATTTGAATTAAGAAAGCTTCCTGGAGGGGAAGAGAAACATCTTCAAATCTTGGAAACAAAATCAAGTGGATTGTTTTTTAAACTTTTACGGAATTAAAATCACCTCTTTCCTTCTTCCTTAAACGTGGCAAACCTGCAGTCTAAAGACCTCTGGAGACAGACATATCTACATCCGTCTCCTCTGGGGGTTGTTTCGAATCAGAAGTTGGCATCATTCAGTTGCAGTCAACAAATTTAAGGAAACTACAGGATTTTGTGATGCCTATAAGGAGACAAGAAGAATTACGAAATCCCTAACAGCAAAACAGATTCAGCGAGGAGCTCTTAGAAGGAAGTTTAGATAAAGCCAAGACTTTTGCCTGATGGTTGAAAGTGGAAAATAAACATCTTCTAGGGTGATGGCTTTGGTGACCAAATGAAACATCTATTTTTCAGTTTGGAACAATAAAGTAAATATTTCTGACCAAAGACCTCACCTTAGCAGAGTATAGGATAAAGGTTTTATCGATGGCTAAACACCCAGTGAGGGGATAAAATAAATCTGAACCCTTTAAAGAAGGAGCTGTGACATTTTTACATTTAGTCTAAAACAGAAGTAGTTTAGCTAATATATTCTGGTAGGTTCCACCTGCTCTAGTTGGTATAAAACAATTCTCTGATTACTACAAGATGTGAAACTGAATAAAGTGTCATGTTTAACAGTGTAGAAACTCTGTAGCTCAAGCTTAATCACCATTGTAATCAGCCTAGCTCATGTATGGCTGAACATAAATCATGTCTTGACACAGCCAGCCCAGTTTTACCCTGTACTCTGATCTCATTGATTTAAGATCAAAAACGAGTATGTTAAATTTGTTTAAGTTTTTTACGTAGGTAGGATCAGATCACTTGTCACCAGGTTTTTAGCTAGGAATATTTCTAAGGGTGAACACTTTGGTGTATCACTTCTTTAGGCTTTGTGCAGCATTGGAGGGTTCAGATAATTTGTAAATTTCGACTCTCTGAAATGCTATTTCCTGCATTTTGAGGTGTAATGCACTGGCTTTATGTGTCTTTGTTACAACACTATCTTTTTCCTAATTATGGGAAGTATGTGTGCTTGACTAGACGTGGAAATTTCATAGGGAAGGCATGAGATCATTTTAAGGTACAATATTATGTTTCATAGGTTAATTCCTACAATCATAAAGTTTTAGTTCTATGTTCACATCATACATGCTTTGAACATAAAAAAAAGTGCCTGCAGCTTCATTTTTTATGCTTGTACACAGGTCAGCAGCGTCAAATATGCTACTGAGGTGCGTCCAGTAAAGTCTGTTTAGATGTGTCTGATGCTTGCTCTGCTCCTTTGTTCAAGGGCAGAGAGCAGCTTTGCTATATTTGCTGTGATCAATGATCATATATTTATAAATGAGAAAGTCCACCTCAAAACATCATCTGTGCAGTCAGTTCATCAAGATCACGATCCTGCCTTAAAATATTATTTTTCTGTTGGTGCCAGAGCATGTCAGCGGAGCGGAGCGTGGAGCAAGCGGTGGAGCGGAGCTGAAGAAATATGGTGGAGCGCAGTTCAATTCAAAGGCTGGAGCAAGGATGTCGCTCTGCTCAAGTTCCGATGCGCTCAAGTCAATTAAAAATGTTGGACTATACAATTTGGAAAATAACATTTATTTGATTTAAGTCTAGTAAAATAAATGAATAAATAATTAAATAGGAAAGGTGGGGTAACATGAATGGAGCGAATTGTTACGTTCACAGCTGGGAAATAGTGAGTTCATATCATAAAATCAATGATGTGATTATGGCAGGGCCATGGCATAATCACATGAACTAAAAATGTCAGAAAAAATGCCTTCTCCCAAAAATTTGAGTGAGTGTGGAGCAATTTCGCCGGAGCGGCAGGGAAAGTAAGTTGAGCGCGGAGCTAAATTCAGTAGAGTGATCATAGCCCTCTGCATCAGCAGTGCTGTGTCTGTCTTCCTGCCAGCTCCCAGATCAGCTTCTCTGATTGGTTGATATTGCGCGTCGAGCAGCAAAAATGAAAATTTAAAACTCCAGCATCTGCTGCGTGGGAAATTTTGAACATTTCAGTTCCGGGGGAAAATTAGGGCGTACCAAAGCTAAACATCCCAAAAAACATGGCAGACAATTTGTCATTTTATTAGTGAAGGGCATACAATGTACGCCTGGACACATTGCTAGCTAAAAGCCTGCTTGTCACTGTTTCACTTACTGGAGTGAAGAAAAAGGAAGATGAAATGTGAAAGGAAGCATGGTGATGTGGGGTTAAAACAACATGTTTGACACATGTGCTCCCAATAAGCGGTGGTCAGATGGAATCAGTGACTTGGAGGAATTAGGGATTTGGGATTGTGGTGTGGAACCGATCAGGAGAAAGTGTGCCAGTTCCAGCTGGTGCTGCTTAGAAATTAGGATAAATGCCAGAAGCTGACTGTTACCCCAGCAGGCTGCTCTGTGCTATCCTCCACTTTCTGTGGGACAGGGAAATAATATATAATCAAAAACGTTTCCTGTGAGAATACCAAAACAGAGTTTGAACTCATATGTTCATTCTGGATGTAAAGAAGGGTTGTAGTTGTTTTAAAACCTGTATTTCAGCATCAGGATTCTTCCATCTACTCTAAATCTGCATATTAACACAGGGCCCAATATTTCCGTTCTCTGACATTGTTTCAATTTGAGTAATTTCTACTTTTATTCTTATATGAAAATCCTGTAATCCTCCAGATTTACCACAAACTTTTTATTTGGTCAAATGCTTTTTTCAATTATTGGCCTTAAACTTTGGTTTGTTTCAGCTGTTTAAAATGTTTTTTTAGTCCTTCTAAATCACTTTTCTTTCTTTCTTCAGGCTTTGGACTCTTTCAGTCATTTTCTAAATGTATTATAAGCTTGTCTAAATAGATTAACAGTATTTGAAAGTAATAAAAACTTGCTTCAGGCCTTTGAGATTCAGAACTGAGTATAACATACTTCTTAATGTGCAAACCTCAGCCATAGAAATGGAAACAAATTCTATCTTTGGGATTAGCTGCTAAATCTTGAGATTTCTTGTATTGCTAAGTGTTTATTATAGTGGGTAGGAACCTTTTAGCACCTTAATGTTTCAGGGTTTAAAAATCAAGCATTACATTCCTCTTAAAAGAGTCCAATATTATGAAAACAAGGAATGAAAAAGCAGGTGAGACCCAAAGAAAAACGTTTGGCTTTTGCAGGAAAATCTGGCTTCCTTGAATCCAAATATAAACACGGTCATTCACGTAAGGTCTGGATTTATATTTGGATCGTTTTCTTTTCACGTCTGGAAAAACAGAAAAATTATTAGGGGGAAAAAAAGCGAATATGGAGAAAGGAAGTAAAAAATTAATAACCTGAAAATAACAGGACACATTTAGATTTTTCGACTAAAATGTACAAATAGTTCTGACTAAATTACAACTTCGGTTTTACTCCATTTTGCAAAGCCACCCCACTGGTTTGGACAGATATTTGATCAACCCATAATAATTTACACCCCTGTCAGTATAAAAATGTATTTAACAAACATGAGTCTTAGGCTCAAAGTGTGTGCAGTTCACCCTAATCTTTCCTTCCAATTCACCATTCATCATTAGGAAAAAAATATTGTATATAGAAAAAGAATTAATGAAACTTGATGTAGATTTAAAACGTGACAGCGGATTCTTTACCCTTTAAAACCGATTGTATTATATTTGATACATGAGTTTTTAAGATCTTTGCATCATCAAAGTGATCTTGTTTATCTTAAAAACCCTGACTTACACAATCAGACACATGTAGTGAACAGAAAACATATATAATATTCCACAGAAATGCCAAATGTATCAGAATTGATACAAATAAAAGATTTAATTTAACTTATACAAAATATATATATTCTTTTTCTGTCATTTTTCAGAGTTCAATGACAACTTTAAATAAAATAATTTAATATCTCTGTCAATTATTTCATGGTCCAGGCTTTACACTGCAAAAAATTGAAATCTAAATAAGTAGTTTTTTTCTTGCAATAAGTGCATTTTTTTCTTGAATTGAGGAGGTAATTGAGACACTTTGCCAATGGAACAAGACAATTTACATTTAAAATAAGAAAAAACAATTGCATTGTCTTATTTTAAGTACATATTATCTAATTATCTTATTTTAAGACTAAAAATACTCATTCCATTGGCCAATGATCTTATTTACATACTCAAATTAATGGTAAAACACTTAATTTAAGACATTTTTTTCCTCATTTTTAGATGGTTTTTGCAGTGTAAAGGGTTAAAATGCATTTTGGTTTCTTTTTAAAACCATATATTGTCTTTAGGAGTTCCCCTGATTGACGGAGGCACGGTGCGGCTTCCTCGCCTCATCGGTTTATCGCGAGCGCTCGACCTGATCCTGACCGGGCGGCCAATTGGAGCTCAAGAGGCTCTAGCCTACGGACTGGCCAACAGGATTGTTCCTGATGGTCAAGGTAAGGAAGCATTTTCAATACGCTGGATTATTTTTGTATAATCTTATAAAAGTACCCTTTCAACATTAAGGAGAAAACATTTAAAGCGAGAAGCTTGTTGGCCAAAAAAAAAACTACAGCTCGGTATTAATTACAGCAAACATTTTCAAAAAAAAAAACTAACAGGAAAATATTTTGCTGCAATAAGTTTGAAAAGCAAGAAGAAATCTCTTTCCACTCAAAGAAATAATCCAAAATTTTAGTAAATGTTCGATTTAAAGTCTTGTGAAGTTGTTTTTAAAGGATGTTTTACCTCTGCATAAAGACTTACACCATTGGCCCCCCTCCACTCACTGCTGGATGGCTTAATTCCTCTCTACCTCGAGCTGCAGCCTGAGGATTAATGTGTTCCATTAGAGCCTGAAAGATCCCATGTAGTTTATGCTTCTATGAGCTCCTTACTGCTTAGTCTCTCATCTCCTTACTAGGATGTTTCAGAATGATTAGCTAAATTCTTTCAGGAAGTTCTTCTCTCCACAGTTTATCCGCAGCCTAATTGGCCCTGTGAAGGATAATCGCTTAGCACACATTTAACATCAGAGGGAAAGGAAGAAGCAGCAGCTTCTAAACATACAAAGGAAGCATCAAAGTGTGCCATGGGCAGGCTTCATGTTTACCGTAGGACTGATCTGGAGTCAGTCCAGGGCTTTGATGTGGGTCAGGAGGCACAGTGATGTAAAGCTGAGATATCTCAGCTGCTTTAAGGGAAAAGGTTTCTCTGGAATAGAGATCTACATATCCTCCTTTATAAGTGTCAATATTTGCTAATGTTTACATGCATACTTTGAATCTGTGTCTGTCCTGAAGAGATGTTTTTTAAACTAACACATCAGTTGTGCCTTGTACATGTTTTTTCTTGCTCAATTAGCTGTTTTAGATGCTCTATCCAGCACTGCTGAATTTGATCCTGCCTCAGAGTTTAGATGTTTCTCTGTATTTTTATTGGTCAGTAGATGGAGGGGCTCCTTCAGGGCACCATTTATGCAATGAACTGGTAAACCAACTCACCCTGTGTTGCATTTCCAGCTTTGCAGACAGCCATACAACTTGCAGAGCAGATCAGCGCCTTCCCTCAGCAGTGTCTGCGGACGGACCGCTCCTCAGCCATGTTCAGCTGCTATGATGCTCAGTCCTTCACACAGGTACATCTGATTTTACACAATCCATAGCAGCCATTAGTGTTATTGTGATAGATCTGTTTTTAGTGGTGAGGGTGTAACAGGTGCTTTTTTTTATTCAAGCCATGTTTCTTGTATATTTAGCTGCTTGAATAACTAATCAAATACTGATTAAAATAATGTAACTGTAACTTTATAATGTTTCTTCTCCTCCTATTTGGCTTCTTTAATGTCTTGTCTTCTATTTTTACAATTGAAACAAATAAATGCACAAAATAACCCTTTTCTAGGTATGCAACATCAAAAATTACACCAACTTTCAGACATCTGTGCCTCAAAAGATAGGAAGCAATGAAGCACAATATGCCACATTTCCTGAAATTGTTATTTAGATAACTCTCTTAACAACCACATCTATAGTTATAACTTGGACAACATTTGTAGGATTTGTTCAAGCAACTGCAATATATTTGCCTTGTTGATTTTAGGAGGGCAGTTCAAGGTGCTCTATGCCAAATATTGGATAGACAGATTTTATTGGGTCTACGCAAATCTATGCAGTTTTTCTGCATATGTGCAAAAAAAAAAAAAAAAAAAAAAAACTTGGTTTACATAAGCTCATTTGTAATGTGAATTTTAAGGTTTAAATAAAACTCTGTTGTGACGATTATCAAAGAGAAAACAGATCAATAGGCTATCTTTTCCCGCTTTGTGCTATAACCACTAACTATAGTCTGTATCAAAGGGAAGATTAGTACTTCCTTATGTTTTTTTATAGATGACCACCATATCCAAAGGAAACAGGACTTCTTGACTCTCTTCAAACATAAATCTCAGCTTCTCTCCAAAAAGACTGTAGTTGTAGAATAATGGTCCAGTTTACAGCATCTCCAGAGGTACCTCAGACCTTTGGCTGCTCCTCTGGTTAATGTTCTCTTCCAGACAGCAGTGCTTCCATAGATTTGCTGTTTTGCTATACTCTATCCCTTTTTCAGATGTGTGGAACAGAGCTCTGTGAGATGTTAGGACTTTAGAACGTGTACATTTTAGCAACTCACCTACAGGAAACTACTGGCCAACTCTGCTTCACCTGCCTGCTGGGTTGCTTTGTTGTTATGATGCTGTTTACTCTCTGCCTTATTTGTATGAAATTAAACCAAACACAAAGGTCTCTATTTAATAATTTTAATCCTAGACATTAGTTGCTTTGCATTTCATGGGCATGAGAATAAAGAAACCTTATTAGAAATGTAAGTAAACCTATTTGTAAAAGGGTTTGAAATCCCAACTAAATCTACTATGAATGGAATGCCCAATGCCAAAGGGTTCATCTGTAGCCTAAAGAATGTAAAATAACTTTATTAAATGTTTTTTAATGTTTAATAAGAGGCTACGTTCATTTAAGATCACAGCTGATTCTTATGAAGGATCATTTCCCTATTAGGAACTCAGGAAAACAAGTCTATCTTGTTATCGCTGAGTACTGTCACAATACTAAGCGATTGCCAAAAAAAAGCAAAATTTTTCTGGCTGTTTTCTTTTGTTTCCTTCTTCAAAATGTCTCCAGCAGATATTTTCATGGTTCAGCATTTCTGCCTATAAAATATAGATCAAATCAGGGGATATAGGGTAAAAGTCTGTCTAACGCGACGGATATGCTTCAATTTAATTTTGTTTATTTATGTAGTACAAATTTACAACAAATCATCTCAAGACACTTTACAGAGGCAGTACAGTAGGAAAACCGGTTGATTGCATTCGGTTATTGTAATACATTCTCCTCCTGGATGAGCCTGTGGCGATGACCTTTGCTTGCATTTTGTCGTCGACATATGGAACTTGACAAATACTGCAGAATGGGAGAATACAGATAGAATAAGGAAAAGTGGTCCCTATGCCATCCAGCAGCCCAAACATATAGCAGCACAAATACAGAAAATAGCTCAGGATAACCTAATTATTTTGGATGAGGTATAAGAAAGGTAGAGCTACAATACGGCCAAGGTAGAGCCAAGAGGAAATGTCTGTTCAGACTGAAATCCTCGCCAGAGGCTGTGAACGCTCTACCTACACCTACCTCTAGTCACCCAGTGACTAAGCAAAAATCCCTCTGTTTTTAACTATAAGCTTTATCAAAAAGGAAGGTTTGAAGCCTACCCTTAAAAGTAGACAGGGTGTCTGCGTCACAGACTAAAACTGGTCGTTGGTTCAACAGGAGAGGAGCCTGATAACTAAAAGATCTGCCATTCTACTTTAGAAATTCTAGGAACCACTAGTAAACCTGCAGATTGAGAGCGAAGTGCTCTGTTAGGAACATAAGGAACAATCAGATCTCTAATATAAGACTAAGCATGGTTATTCAAAGCTTTATATATGAGGTGGATTTTAAATTATATTCTAGATTTTTTGAGGGAATTTTTCCTTAAATAATCTGGTTGGAACTGGATCTAATGTACAAGTTGAAGGCTTAGATGAAGACAATAGTTTTGCTAACTCTGAAAGCGCAACTGGATCAAAGCCGACTAAACCCGGTTCAGATTCTATGGTTACCTCAGAACCCGCCTTACCTTCCACAGATAAACCAATCATAGTTTGTGGGGTGCTGGTGATCCTATTTTATAAAAGATCCAGTCTTATTTATAAAGAATCCCATTAAATTATGACTGCTAAGAGCAGGGTGGATGAACGGTTCAACAGAGTTATGGCTCTAGGTCATCGCATTTATATTGAATCTAACAAAATATAAAATCCAAGTAGTCCCTTGTAATATCACACACAGTGATGTTGCTATGATGACTGGCACTACAATTATGTAGTTATGGATTATTTTTTAGATATTGGCCTACTATTGGTAGTTTTCAACAGGTAATCAGCCTTTTCTGATGATTGATTGACTTTATTATTTTGGTTTTGTCTTTTTCTGTCTAGGCCATGCAGTATGAGTTTGACCACGGAGTTCAAGTCATCCAGGCTGAATCTATCCCCGGGGCCATCAGGTTTACTTCAGGAGCTGGAAGAGGGGGGGAGTTCTCCTAGGATTTAGCTTCCAGGAGCTATGACAGATGATCATAAATCTCTTGTTGCCTCAACCATGCATCGATGCTGTTAGCTGCATATTTAATTGATTATTTCTTTATAACATACAAAAAAGGATTTTAAAAAACATAATCACGTTGTTTTGCATAATGCAATGTGCTTTGGTTATTTGAATAAAATTAAATTTTTTTAGTTGATTTGATTATTTTTTTTTATATATTCATATGAAAATATTTTTATTTCAGCTTTATAATTTATTTGAAAAATAGTCAATATTTTTTATGCATTCAAAACAAATAAACCATCAGGACTTCAGTGGCTCCAACACCAGCAGACCTGTAGGATCTTGTCACCGATTCCTTAAACTGGTGTGAAAACCGCTTGATAACAGTTTGCTTGCATTGCTGTGCAAACTTGTGTGACTGAAACCACACTGCAGCCTAATTATTGCATAGATCTGTACTTTTCTTGTCAGATCTGTGCCAAGTGTAAACATTCCTGTGAAACAGAGGCTTTAGCTTTACGATAGAAATGTTTGCAAACAAAAAACTATCATACTTATCTACTCCTTTTTACAAGTTTTAGATATATACATTAAAAAAAGGTTCACCTGGAGGATCAAATTTAAAAAAAGTATAGTAGTGAATGTGTATGTGGGTGCAGAGTTGTGTGGGTGATCCAGACACACAAAAAAAAAAACCTCATTATGTTTAGGAGGTGTCCTGTCTAGACGGTGTGATGACAGGACACAGAGCTCCTGTTTAATGTTTCCTCCTCCCTCTGCTTCCAGTTCAACCAACACACACACATCACCTGCTCTACCTCGGGCTATAAACACACACTTGCAAACATGCGCAACTGATCAGTGTCAAATAAATATAGCAGAACTGAAGTGCTTTTTAAGTTCCTGTCAGTCCAGCTCGGTCGTTTATCTGGATCACTGTGACAGCGTTTGAGAGCACAGGGGCAGAATCAGCCGTAAACAGTTTTTTTTTTTTACGATCCCCTAGTAATGTTTGTTTAATGTGACATGACTGAGATTAATAGTGCATAAAGCTTTTAACATGGATCCTTTGCTTTTTGTTACCACGAGCTGAGTCACGCGGTGAGAGGCGGTAAAAACGACCCGTTTCCTTCCATCGTCTTACCCAGAAAATAATCACTGCTTTGTTTTTTTTTTCTGTTCAGTGCTGCAGCCAAAAAGGCTTCTTTCAAAAGAGAAAAATTAAAATTATTTCCAGTGAAATGATAGATTTTTTTTAAGCTTTAACACAAAATCCATGCAATGAATCAGAACTTAGCCTTCTTTCAAACAAATGGAAAAATGACTTCTAGGAGGAGTGAAAAAGACCGATAAATTACTTCATTGACAGAAGGTTTTTCTGGTTGCAGAGACTTTCTGTTTTGGTTTTCCTATTTTAGTCATTTGTTTCATACAAACCACTCAGCCTCACGTTAATCTTTTTGCAGCTTTATGGTTGTGATATGAGAAGCATTGTCTTCAACCTGGAAGCCACCCAGCTGAAGGTGTTTGTGTCGGCCTGGAGGTTGTGGAATGTGTGGCTTTGATGCGGCTTCTCACTCCTCACATGCAGATAAGATAGGCTCTGGCAGCAGCGGTAGCAGAGACACTAGGAGATACGGACACCTTTGGGCCTTATCATCAGGACCATCACAGTCTGAAGGCACCATGAAGACATAACACAGGGTAGGGTGACAGGAATGATGGGAGAGAAAGACAGGAAGGGTTTTAATGAGTTCTTTTTCATCCTCAGAATCCTGCTTGGCTTTCTTCTGCTTTGTGTTTGAGTCATGTTGACATTTTTCATCCCCGTTTCAAATACACTATGTCACTGATCAGAAAGCCGTGGCAAAAATCTCAAGATTTTGGTTTCATTTTGGAGACATTAAAGCTGTTAGATTAATAGTATTTTAAGAAACTCTAATACATGTTCATAGATTCTGCTTTCTGTAAACTCTTGAACCTTGTATCTGGAGAATAGTTTCTGTTAAAAACATTGTAACTAATACTTTAAGATGAAAACCAAATGTTTACAAAGTTCCCTTTTAAACAGTTTTTGGTGTTTTATGTTCGCAACACTGGTCAACTAAGTACTTAGATTCATGAGTAAGTACAGATCCTACTGGTCAAATATTTCTACATTGAAAGTAAACTTAGCTCTTGTAATTTACTACTTAAAGTACAGGAGTGTGTGTGTTTAAAACATACAGTTATAATACTGGTATTCCAAATATTTGAAGATCTGAATTTTTTTTTTTGTAACATTTATTTTAATCAAGTGTAGTCAAGAATAAGTGAGGTAATTGTCCGTTATATTAGATTAACTTCAAATATATAATTTATCAAATCATATATAGCAATTTCTAGGTGGTCATAGAAGCTGAATAATTTCATGTGTTTTACTCTTCAGGCCCATCGGTGGTGAAAGTATGTCTTCTGCATCTACAATCCTCCACACCACCCCATCATATCACCCTAATAGATAGATAGATAGATAGATAGATAGATAGATAGATAGATAGATAGATAGATAGATAGATAGATAGATAGAT